TATGGGTATTATTGAGAGATCTAACAGAACGTTTCAAGAACGATTCTATAGTATTCTTGATGCATATGACTTATTGGTTACCTCTTCTGATATAATAGAGTTAGAAGACCTACCAGGCATTGTTGATTCAATAGTAGAAGATCTTAATAACTCTGCAACTCGCTTGCAATAAAAAGAATAGTGTCTTTGCCAAGCCTTCTAAACCTCGAAAAGGGCCTGTGAGATATGATGAAGAAAGATTATCTTATGATAATTCCATTATATATCTGCTTGATTCTAGTGAATATGAGGGAGGGAGAAGACGCTCAACTGATATGAATTAGTTTTCTAAGATTTATCAGATCCGCGAATCTTTAATACAAAAAAATCAGCTTGTCTTATACTGGCTAATAGATAATGAGAGAAATGGTCTGAAAAGGTCTTTTGTGAGAGAAGAGCTTCAAATCATTCTTTCTGATGTGAAGTATCCATCACAATGGGTGCTTGCGAATTAGATTTCTAATTCATGAAGTTTAAGTATTTTGTTTACTTCTTCTGTAGACCTTTTTGTATAACCTCTTTTTGATTTGCAAATAAGAGATATAATTTATATATTTTTTTAAGACTCTGATACACTTCTTCATTATATCAGTCTTTGAAATCCGCCATTCTCTCATTATAAATTTCCTCATTTGGAGCTTATTGCTTTACTACATTTCTGCAATAATCATCTGGGTCCCTTTTACATTGCATTATTTTCAAATAGCCCACATATGTTAATCCTATTTTATCATATTTTTTTATATCTTAGCTATATGCCACTTTAATTACTTCAACTAATGCTGATTTGATATCTTTATAGTTAACCATTTTGTATAAATATTGAATGTTTGTATTAATATAGCAAAAACTTTTGTTTAAAATAAAATATTTATTTCCCCTCCTTTGGTCAAGACCTTCAAAAAAAATAGTTAATATAGTGTATTTTTTATTATATAAACTTATCCTTTAGTTTATAAAATCACTTCGCAGTTGTGAAATAACAAGAAGACATGATAGGTGAATATTATTGCAATTATTTACTCATGACTGGATACAACTGTAGGCGAACTTGTCATTGACCTGAAGGGTGTTTTGAACATTGAAAAGCTAAACCTCACTTTTCCTGTAAAGTTTATGACAAGTCGACTAGCTCTGAACCTGGCCTTTGTAGAAAGCATGCTAATAGTTATTATATAACCCAGTATATTAATAGGCTTTAGGATAAGGCTAATACTGATGATTTAATCCAGATGAAAATTGATGAATTACTTCTAGAGCTGTCAGCAGACAAAACCCCCCTTTGAAGCTATCGCCGAGAAAGCCTAGCTTTTTTTTCGAATCTAGTGAGAAAAAAAGGCATGCTATTCTGATTTTTTTTACACTATGATAGCTTTTTTTTTCACTTAAGGTCTGCCTGCTCTCCCTACTTGGTCCACTCAGGTAAAAATTTTTTACTTTGCTAGGTGTATTTTTTCAAAAAAGTCTAGCTAGAATGCTTTAAAAATAAGATTAAGACGCATTTTGATAATTATCATTCTTAGACTTCTAGGGAAAAATAAAGCGATCTGCTTAGGTGTAAATTTTTATTATGTCAGAATTATAATCAGGAAGACGTATAAAGGCAAGAAAATAAATTAGTAATTTTGATAAGTAAGAAAGGCTAGAGAACAATATTCATCAACTATCATTCTTGAAGTTCTTAGGCAAAAATAATGTGATCTATAAACACTTCTCATTAGATGTAAATTTTTATTATGTCAAGATTATTATCAGAAAGGCATGTGAAAGCAAGAAAACAAATTAGTAATTTCATTGAGCAAAAGAAGCTAGAATACGTTCTAAGAATATTAATTTTATTGATATACTAGAACTATATTTTGAGAGTCCTAGAATAGTAAAATTAATAAGTATTTATTTTAGTAGCAAGAAGAGCCCAGAATACTTATTTCGAAGACTATAATTCTTAGGCTCTAGGGCAAAATAAATCAGTCTGTAGGCTCTCCCTGCTGCTTCTAATGATTTTGTGTGTTCTGTTTATTTGTAAAATCTATATCAATTTTTATTATATTAGAAAAGCTTTAAAAAGCTCTAAAATTTTAATTTTTATATTATTTTAGAAAAACTTCTAGCTAGTTTAAAAGATTAATTTTTATATTGATTTTTTTATTATATATTAGAAAAGCTTTTAAGACTTCTAAAATTGTAATTTCTATATTATAAATAAATCTAACGAAAAATAAGTCTAACAAAAATAAATATATTAGGAATTAATTTTATAAGGGCTGGCATAATATTTAGCATATTTTTTAAATAAGTCTAATAAAAATAAGTCTAACTATTCTTATTACTCTTAAATAAGTCTAATGAAAAATCATGTGGCTTTTTAAATCTAACGAACTTTTCTATATACAAGAATATCTTCTATATAAGCTAATTCATTAAATAGCATAATTGTTAAATAAGTCTAACAAGATTTTTGTTCTAACTTTTTTTTAATCAAGAATGGGTTCAATGCAGGCTAGCTTACTAAAAAGTATATTTTATATAAAAGTTTAATGAAATGTTACCTCTGCAAAAATTCAGAAAAATCTGCAAAATTGTTTCAACTTTTCCTTAATCAAGAATGGATTCAGCATAGGCTAGCATATTAAATAGCATATTAATCATAAAAATATAAAAAAATAAGTCTAACGAAAATTTAGCAAATGCTTATTGGATATTACGCTTAAAATTTAAGTTAGTTGAAATAATCTTTTCATTTATTCTGATTGGTAACTAACATAATAATCTCCCTTTCCTAATTTTATCAAAATGAGACATTTCTTATAAAGAGAAACATTAAGATTTATAAGTGTATTTCTATAGGTATCTATTATTTCCTCATAACTTCTTTCTTGTATTTCTGATCAAAGTCTATTATAAAATTGGCTAACATAGAATTGACTAATATAAGTTTTTTTTTATCAAAGTCTATTATAGTATCGGATAACATAATAATATCTAACATATAATAAACATCGTATATAAGTAAAGACTATAGGCTTTTTGCAATCAAAACAAGATATATGTTTTTTAGCCTTCTAATAAAATCGACATCCTTTAGATCTAGTACTAGCATTCTTACAAGTTTTCTATTATTGCAGAGAAATGGGCAAGAATATTTACTGATTATCCTACTTTTTTATTACTAGATTCAAAAAGATTAATTAATAATTAGTTAATGCTTCAGTTTGTAATAGCTAGAATTGCTTCAGAAAGCTTGTAAATACTTATCTTCAGTAGAGTTTATATGATCAAAAAGTGATAGGTATATAAGAAATAAATAATTAAAAAAAAATTATATAAGCAAGTAATAGTTCGCCAGTTAGAGTTAACTATATACCAAATGTCTGACACGTATCTTGATTATATTAAAGAAATAACTATAAAAATAGCTGATTTCAATCTAATTGGCCTTACTGCCTATATACCTTTATCTAAAACGTTACTGAAATATAATAACAGAATTATTAATATTCAAAATAAAGATGACTGATGTTTCAGATAATAATGTTTTAAAAGCTTTGCATCCAGTTAAAGTTCATTTAGAAAGAAATCTACATCAGCTATATGAAAGTTTTGTGAAGAAACTTAATATAGATTACATTCTAATTCCAATGCAGTCTTAACATCAGTTTATAAAAAGTTTAAAGAAAATAATTCTAATATCAGTTTATATATCTATAAGTAATATAATCAAAATGAATGTCTTGACTTCCAATATATTTTAGAAAAAAGGAATAAAGAATATAGGTAAGTAAAATCTTTTAGTAATCATAAAAGAGAATAGGAGTGACTACTGTAAAAATCCATATGGCAAATTTGATGCAATAAGAATTAAAGATTGCATAAATACCACTATTGATTTTGTTGTTGGATCTCAAATGCCATTTTCTATTGTAGAAAGTTCTTAGTTTAAAAAGTTATGTAATGTTCTAGATCAAAGATGATCTTCATAAGTTAGTATACAATTATAGCTATATATGAAACTGAAATAATTTTGATTTTAACCATATTAAAAGTCAAAATAGTCAAAATTGATTTTGACTTAAAGTTATAAAAGTTGAATAGTCAAAATAAATTATAAGGGTTGAAAGTCAAAATAAATTATGAATATTAAAATGAATTATGAATATTAAAATAAATTATAAATATTAATATAAATTATGAATATTAAAATAAATTACGAATATCAAATAAAATAATGATAATGTAAAATTATAAATCATATAATATGCTAATGATCCAATGATAAAATTTACAAAATTTAGTAATATATATAATATACTGTATAACTGATTATCAATCAAATTTTTCTTTATAATGAATAATGGATTTTGAAATTTTAAATCATCTCTTTTCTTTTTTGATTTTATAATGATAGATTATAATACTTCTGATCATACTGACGTAGGTTCTCATTTAAATGATTCTATTTTTAATATTTTTTCAGAAAGAAATGAACTAAAAAATAAAAATTCTGGCTGAAAAAAGAGTCAAGTTTGGGATTTTTTTGAGACAGAAGATGCTAAAAAACATAGAAATACAGGTTATATTTGTAAAGGATGTGGTTGGAAAAGAAAAGTAAAAAAAGAACATAAAATAGTTAAACATTTAGCTTTTACATATACTAATATTACAGGTGAAGTAAAAGATTTTTTTATTCAAGAATTAAGAGAATGAACCAAAATTAAAACTTCTAATAGTAATAATAATAAACCTAATGACCAAGAAGTTAATATTGGAAAAAAAAGAAAATTATCACTAATACAACCAAAAATAATAATAAAATTTGAAAATTCTATAGTTAATGAGGCTAAAGAATAATGATATAATCAAGCTCTTATTAGATTTTTCATATGTTGCTACATTTCATTTAAGATTGTAATAAGTTCATTTTTATTGACCTTGTAAAATGTTTGTATCTATCATATCAACTTTTAAATTGAATTACATTTGCTGATTCTTAAGTTAATCAAAAGTTAGCTCAGGTTATAAGTATGATATCAGATGTTATTAAAGGATCAGATAATATAATAATAGGTATGAAAGTTTTTTTCTTTGAATTATTTATTTTAATAAAACTAATATTTTTAAAATTTCAGGTTTAGATAGATGGACTAATTCAACTGAAGTATTAGTATATGCTTTTATTTTAATTTTATCAAAAGAAAAAGAATATATATATTCTTTACAAGATTTATCTTTATATAAGAATATGGTAGAATATATATCTAAAAAAATTTTAGAAGTTGTTAATGATGTTGAAGCAATAAAAATTACTTCAATTGTATCAGATAATATATCAATAATAGTTAAAGCAAAAGATCTTATAAATGCAAAATATAATCATATAATCTCTATTCGTTATATTGCTCACTATATTAAAGGTCAGTTCCAGTAAAATCTGATCAATCTGTTATCCGATCCAGTCAAATTTTGGATCATCTAGATTTCTATTCATCAAATTTCAGATTATTTAGTATAATCTGATCAATTTTCATAATTCCTGCTGGAATTATAAATTTTGAGCGAAATTATGAAAATTACGAAAAATCACATGATTTTTAATTTCTATGCGCGCGGATATATCAATTAATTTCCTTTTCCTATGATAGTCGTTCTACAAAAAAAATTTTCTATTTTTAAATTTCTGTATTCCTAATACTTTGTACAACTATAACACCAATCATTTCCTTTTTAGCAATTACCATTTCACAAAAAAATTGTTTCTTATTTTTTTGATTTCCGCTCTGTATAACCTGTGTAATCAGTTTTTAAAAATGAAAATGATCAGAGGCTCGTATTTTGAAACATGTTATCAGATTGATCAGAAAATCTGTTTCTATCTGGTTAATCCTGTAATACAAACGGATCAATCTGAATCTGATCAAATTTTGAATGGATGACCAGATATCCAGATTGATCAGATTTGAAGCATACCTCTACACTACATTAATCTGTTAACCACTAATATTATGAAGCATAAACATTCAAAAGATATTATAATAAAATGTATAAAAATTATTAAATTTTTTTGAAAATTACATCAAAACGAAGCAATATTATCTCAAGGATTAGAAAATACTTTCATTAAAGGAGAAGGATTAAAGGGATATTGTAAAACTAAATGAACAATGACTTGGGATTGTCTTGCATTCATTTAAAGATATAAGCGTCCCTTATATAATGTAAGATTATATAATTTACTGGTATTTATTATTGTTGTATTTTAAGTTTTATCATATTAATAATTTAATATTTTAAAAGCTTGTTGAAATTAATTCAGAAATTCTTAATGATGAAATAAAAACTTTACTGCAAAATCACTTTTTTTTCAAGATGTTGAAGAACTTATTAAAGTTATTCAGCCAATTAAAGAAATTATAACTTCTTTAGAATTTAAAACTAGTAACTTAACAGACTATTTTATTCAGTTAATAAAATTTTCTATAGCTGTTAAAATTTATCTAACAATAACAAATTCTATTTTTCGTACTTACTGCTTAAAAAAATTCATTAAACGATAGTGTTAATTTGATTTCAAAATATATATGCTGGCATATTTCTTACATCTGCTATATATAGGTATATAAATTATAAAATAATTTTTAATATAATTATTTAATAATATATTATTGCTATTTTAGAAAAAGGATTTAAATATGATGTTTTTTGACAAATATGCCATACTGCACTTAAATTATAGAGATCTATAGGTGGTTAAATTTCAGCTAATAAATTAATAGAACAAATATTTGCATATAATAATTATCAAAGCCTATATGAATTTAAATTTGTACCTGAAATGTATAGTATATTGACTTGGTGAAAAATGATTCAACAGGAAGAAAATTGGATTTAACAACTAGTATTAAAAATTTGTTCGATAGTATCACATAATGCTAGTTGTGAAAGAATATTTTCTGTTTTAGGTTAGATATATTCAAAATGCTAAACAAGATATTATTTTGAATTTTTGTTATTTCCACCCTTTATATTTTTTTATTATCGTTTTAATTTTATATAAATACCTAATTACAGATTATAAATTGAATGAATGTAAGTAATAGCAAAGCTATATACTTACTATATCAGTAATGCTTTCTCTAAAATAAGTTATGCTTATTCAAATCTTACTGATGATGAATTTTATAAAGCAGTTAGTAAAGTTTTAATGATATTATAGAATTTTCTGATGACAAAATTCAAGAATAAGAAGAAGAATTAAATATAATTGATGGAGATGATGAAGATGATAATCTTGTCATAGATAATGAAGAAACTCTTAAATATAGTAGTGAGTCGGTAATGGAAATTATTTTAATTTTGATAACCAAGATTTGCAAAAAGTATTAAGAGTGGAAGTAAGTGTGTTATTGAACAGGAAACAACTGATTATAATCACAGAGAAAAGAATTATAATATTGATGCATTATTAAATGCTAATTTTAATAAGTAAAATAGCATATAAATTAGTATAAAATAAGTATCTGTGTAATAAAAAAATATTGTTTCATTTTGTATATTTCGATATAATAAATTATTTTAAAAATTAATTTATTATAATAAAAATTTATATAAATGTATTTATAAAAAAAGTATAATGATATTTACATATATTAAAAAAATTAAATTAAAAAATAAAAATAAATTAACATATTCGTCTTTTCCTTTCTTTGAACTTTTTCATAATAATTTCTATCCTGATTAACTGAAACTTAATTAGAATTTTGCAAAATGTTAAAATCCCAATTAGTAATAGATAAAACGTTAACGAAATATTTTGCCAATTATGTAATGTTAAAACTATGGTGAAATCCTTTGATTAAAGAATCGAATATTCTATAAATAAATAAAAAAAAGTTAAAAATTTTATTTGAAATAAAAAAAATCACCTCTTTCGAATCTCTATATATATCTAATCATATTTAAAGTCCAACTGTCTAAGCTGGTATTCCTATAAAAATATTTCTTAAAAAAAAAACACATACATTTCCCAATTTATTCAAATCTTCAAAAAGGTGATACCTTATAAAATAGAAGAAAAAAACGTCAATACATTTCTTAAATAAAGAAAAAAAAACAAAAAAAACACTACTGTTTATACTCACTTGAAGTCTAGTTCATAATTCGTCCAGCATACCTATAAAAAATAAGAAAGAAACATTAAAAAAGTTTCTCTTTAAATAAATAAAAAAAAAACTTATGACATTCTGATCTAGTCATCCAAGTAGTCTAGCACCTCTACAAATAGGAAAAAATAAGAAAAGAAATATTTTCTTAAATTAGATAAAATAAAAAAAATCACATTTACTCACCTCATGTCCATAATGGTTTCATCAAGATTCAAAAAACAAGCATCCCTACAAATAAAGAAAAATAAAAAAAACTATTTATAATGTTATTTTAAAGTATTTAAAACCCTATTTACTTACTTATTATGTAATGTTAAAACTTCAAGCCAGATCAAAATGAGTAAAAAAATGAATTAAAAAATTTAAAAAATTGATCAATTGGCAATTTAGCATATCAATCATGTTACTCTGATCAAATTATCAATTTTGACTATTGTAATCAATTTCAACTCTCATAACCAATTTCAACTATTATGATCAATTTCAACCTTCATGATTAATTTTAACTCTTATGATCAATTTTGACTTTTATAATTAATTTCGATCTTTGTAATTAATTTCAACTTATATTTTGACTATAGTTTTTTTAAAAAAATATTTCAACTTTAACTTAATTATTTCAGTTTCATGTATAATCATAGCAAGCATAAAGAAAGAAAATACCTATACTGATATTGTCTTCATATATATTATATAGAAAAAAAGATTTAAGAAGCATATACCAAAATGCAAGGGTCTAAATGAGACTTCACAAAAACTAAAAGTATCAGAAAAAGATGATAATAGAAAATATTTTTATAATTATAAATGCATTTAACCAAATTTATATTACATTTTCTGAGATCTAGAAACGTTAACTAAAAAGTTAACTTCAGATAAGAAGACGAAATTAATCTATACTAAAAGATTACAGATATATAAGCTATATGGCTATTGCTATGTAGTTGTTCATATGGATAGTTTACTTAACTATGAAATCATAAGTTATAATTTATATAAAGGTTTAGATGCATTTAAAAGATTTGTTACAAAAATCAAAAAGGAGCTAGTAAATATATAGAAGAATTTATTTACGCTTGCAGAAATAATAATGATACTAGGAGATCTTAAAGTATATAATGAGGTAATAAAATGCTAGATTTGCAAGGGACCTTTTTTAAAACTAGTATCAAAGATAGTACAAAAACTCGAAGAAGCAAAGTATAATTTATTAGAAATCAAGAAATGGGAATCATGTATGAAAAAGAACATCAAAAAAAGAAAGAGACACAGAAAAGATACTAAGAAGCTTTAAGTACTCTTAATCATAAAGTAAAAGATTATAATCATATAAGTGGTAACTACTGAGGCTTAGCTTATAGCGCCTGTAATTAAAAGTTACAAATAGGCTCTTTTGAAACTAAAGTATCTCTTATATACCATAATTTCTGAGGTTATGATTCTCATTTACTCATAAAAGTTGTAAGCAAGTTTACAGTTGATAAGCTAAAATGCATCCTAGAGAATATTGGAAAGTATAAAGCTATAAATATTGGCCAGCTCTGATTCTTAGATAGTTTTCAACATATAGAAATGGGTTTGATAAATTAGTTAAATGTTTAGGTAGAAAGCTTAAAAAATTTCCCCTAACTGTTAAATACTTTACAGAGAAAAGTTACTCAATAGATAAGATAAGGCTTCTTTTTCAAAAGGATGTCTTTTCTTATAACTGGACTAATTCATAGAACAAGTTTGATAGAATAGAATTTCTACCAAAAAAAGATTTTTATTCGCTACTTAGTCAGCATAATATTAGTAAAAAGGATTATAAACATATATAAGAAGTATAGCAAATATTTGAGATAAAAATCGTTAAAGAATATCATGACCTATATCTTGAAATAGATGTACTTTTGCTTGCTAATATATTCATAAATTATACTATTAATGTGCTTGCAAAATGATAGCTTAAATTCCTCTCATTATGTCTCAGTATCTGAAATATTTAATGATTTATTATACAAGAGCAGTGTAGCTAAACTTAAGCTTATGACAGATATAGATGAGTATTTAATAGTTAAGAAGGATATTCATGAAGGTATGAAAATGGCAAGTCACTGTTATGTCAAAGCTAATAATCTTAATATTCTGATTACAATCTGGATAAACCAACATCTTAGATCTTATATGATGATATAAATGCTTTATATTCTGAAATAATAACACAATATATGGCTACAGAAATATTAAGAAAAGTAGATCCTGAAGAAATTCCAAATATTCAAAATATAGCATCAGATGTGAAAATAGGTTATATACTTGAAGTTGATTTAGAAATTCTAGTACATTTACATACTACTTTGCAGATTATCCATTAGCGTCAGAAAAGTAGATAGTTTCAGAAGACTGGCTTAGCTTGTATAATGAAAGATTAGTATAAGATAAAAATGTTGAAGGAGGTAAATACATGTTCAGAAAGAAGCTAGTTCAGACTCCTCTTTTTATTAAGAACAATTATGTAGTTCACTATTGAGCTCTTTAGACATATATAAAATTCAGAATGAAGATTACAAAGATTCATGAAGGATTAAAATTCTGACAGTCTCTATGGATAAAAGAACATATTGAAGAAAATTTTCATAAATGCAAAATAGCTAAGACCTCTAGAGATGAGTTTAGAGTTATATACTATAAGATAAAAAAATAATGCAGTCTTCAGCAAACAGATAAAGAATGTCTATAAATATATGAGAGTAGAATTACTCTGAATAGAAAAGGATAAAAAAATCAGATGTTTAGTAAGTTTACCATTATTTGTAGGCTTTAAAGCATTTGAAGGAGGAATTATAGCAATTCACATGTTAAAGAATATAGTAACTTTAAACAAACCAATCTATGTAAAGCAGGCAATTCTTGACATTAGCAAGGCCATGATATTTAACTTTTGGTACAATTACATAAAGTCTCGCTATAAAGAAAAGACCTGTTTACTTTATACAGATACAGGACTCATTTATCATGTGAATAAAAACTGAGGATATCTATAAAGATTAAGTAGAAAGACTAGACATTTTTAATTTTAACAATTTAGGAGACTTGTTTCTAATAAATGATAAGACAAAAGGAGATCTAATAGACGAATTAGTATACTTAAAGCTAAAAATGTATTTAGTTCTTCTAGCAGGTCATGATCCTAAAACTCCTGATGATCCTGACTCAGAAGACCCTAAAAAGAAACATAGCATTTAGAAGGTAAAGGGTATTAAAAAATGTGTGATTAAGAGGAAACTTTGACATGATAAGTTTTTAGAATGTCTTAGAAATAAGAGACTAATCTGACATGATATGTATGATCTTTGAAGTTATAATCATCAAATATATCTAGAGAGGGTAAATAAGATAGGGTTAAATCTATATGATAATAAGCATTGGATTTTACTTAATAGAATTTGAACTCTTCCATATAGATATTGGCGAATTGGATTATATAAATGCCTAATAGCATCTGAAATAGCTTTTGAGAAAGCAGAAGAAAAGGCTATAAAAGTTAAACTTTGAATTAAGGAATAGATGTTTTATAACAAATATTTTTTTCAGGTAAAAATTATCAAAGAATATAATTTTATTAATTAAAGTTTTCTATTATTATAGTAAAAATAATACAAAAATGGTTGATTATAAGAATATAGAACTTGCGCAAGTTAAAGTCATAAAAATTTCATTATGAAAGGGTAAAAATTATGATAATCTTATGAAAAATTATAAAGACTATCTAAAGAAATTGTGAGTTGAAAAGAATCAGAATGATTATATTAAGACAATTACAATCAAGATGTTTTTTAACAAAGAGATATATACTCTAAGGTTAGAAAATTATTGTAAAAAGTATATAGATAATTATCTGTATACTAGCCTAAAAAAATTATATGAGCTTTATTATGATATAGTTAAGGAAGAGAATTGCGAAAGGTCAGATGATGAAATAGAACAGATACTCAAAGTAATGGCAATCTAGTCATCTAGTGAATAATGTATATATGCAAGCAGAAAGATAAGTTATAGCGCTAACATAATATTTTAAATTTTATTTAAGTATGATAAATATTTAGTTTATTTTTTTTCAGCTTATAAAAATGCCTTCTAAAAAGTATCATACATATTATTTAGAAAAAGAAAAGGTAGATGCTATTCAAGAGATCAAAGAGAACATTATAGCATTAGAATATGATATAACTAAAATACATTAAAATCTTAAAAGAATTGGCTGAGAAATCTGTTATCTATATAATACTATGATTGAATCATCTGAGTCTAGTTCATTTGAGTTTGAGGTGAAGATAGTTACATCTGAGTGCTATTTATCTGAAGAAATGAAAGTCAAATGCTATAAACTAAAAAAAAGACCAAGTGGTCTAATCCCTTAGAGAAAACATATAATTTTAGATCGTTGAAATTTGCTATTATGCAATATAGCCAAGTATGATCACACATATGATAGGGTAACTGGCTTTATTATTATTAAAAATATAAGTAAGATAGGATAGTAAGCGTATTTGATTATCCTGAACTGTGATTATCTTAGAGTCCAATCTAATGATAATTAATAATTATATATTTTTTCTTTATATATAATTAGACTAATTTCTGCAAATAAGAAATAGAAAATAATAAAAAAGAGAAGTGGTCTAAAAAGGACCAATTAGAGATTCAATGCTATGATTTTTTATTCAATAATTTACCTAGTGATTCAGAAAAAACAATCAAGATATTTGAAAAAAATTTAGCAGAATTAGAAAACCTTGTAAAATTGTTTAAAAGTGATATAAGTAAAATGTTTGATATTTCTGATTCTAGTTTAATGAATGTTAGTCTAGAAAAGTGATCATCAACTTAGAAGAATTGCTCAATATTTTCAGCTAAATTGTGTGATAAATAAATTAATCTTAATACAGGTTTGTGTAATAGGAAATTTCTTATATATCAAGTGAAAAGAAATTATATTAACTTTCTATTCTTATTTTTTCCCAAAAAATATGATTGGAGGAAGAAAAAATGTCTAATACAAAACAGAACCTATCTATAAGTAAATAGTATTAATAAAATCATATATTATAAAAGGCTGAAAACTTATCAATTCTGAGATCTATATAAGTTAGCCAATTTTACGTCTTGTAAGGTAGATCTTCATGTGAAGAGGTATAAGAAATGTATATTTTTATAATTTTATATCTTTCAGGTAACATACGTCAATGATAATCATACACTCTCTTTTTCCAGCAAGATATAAAGCATAAGGAAGTTTAAGAAGTTCAATTGACTTTCCCATTTGCTAAACCAACCTCTGCAAAAAATTAATATAGTAAATTTAGTAGAAATGACTTAGGATAAGGATTCTACTTTACATAAACTTTCACTGACTACGTTTCTATATAAGTAAGAAAATGGTTAATAACAAAATTTATAGTCTAAACTTTCATATCCATAATAGCCAAAATGATAATGAAATATTTATAATTGAGATTTCTAGAGAAAAAAAGATTGACTTACTTAAGCCTATCATAAAGAAATAGTTGGTGCCTCTATTTGATAAAATCTCTTTTATAAAAATTGATCTCTATATGAATTACCCTTGAGGTAAAAGAAGTATGCAACTAATAGCTTCAATTTCTAATTATTTTCAAGGGATTCCTGATCTAAATGATATTCATATTTTCGTATTTCCTCCCTATCCAATAATGAATTGTTAGATTTATTAAATTTGTATATGTATCATATAATAGTAATTGCTTTTGGTAACATTATATTCATTAAATAATACAAAATACAGTAATGCGATTTTTTACAGAATAATATTTTTTCATATGATATGTGTATTGTGTATTGTAAGATGTATTCTAATTGAACTTATCTTTTAGCCTCTTAATGTCTCATATTAATAAAGGCTTTATTCTTCATTATCATCAGCACTATCATCAGAATCACCATCTATTTGACTTTATTATTACCTGAAAAATGCGCAATTGATATTTAGAAAAATACTTACTAAAATGATCAGTGATTAAGTTTTATAGATGAGACAGAATTTTTTCTGAAATAATCTCCTTACAATGTCAAAGCGAGGTCTAAGAAAAAGAAGGAGTCCTAAAAGGACCAGATAAGTATTATAAGCAATAATTCAAGTTCACAAATATAGTATAGATCAATTTGATATTAGATTAATAGATCAGATTTTCATAATGTGATGCTTACATGATGAATTTTATGGATGATAATTTCAATTCTTGGATGGTTAAGGGTAAAGTTAGTTATTTTATTCATAGTATACTTTAATTTCATTCATAATATACTAATCAAATTTGCTTTTCTGGAGATTCTATTTTGACTATCATGGGTTTGAAGAAATAGTAGGAATAGAAAATGAGAAAATACTTACCTGTTGAAATTGACAAAAATTGATGAACCTGTTAAATATGACATATATGTTAAATCTGCCAAATCTATTATATCTGCCAAATAGGACACACATACTATTATTATATTTCTATTATTTATATCCTTATTATCATTTATAATATATTTGATATAATTAGCATATCTATTAGCTCTGTTATTATTGTCAGTAGTATCATATTTACCATAGATTTTCTTAATTGTAATTTTCCTATATAAAGGGTATGAAAATGCTTTGAAAAAAAGACAGATTCCAACGAGATTTTAACAAGTTTTTAATATTGTATTCAATATACATTCAATAATAATAATAAACAATATTAACATTTTACAAACATAAAAATTATAATTTATTTCTTGTTAACTAAATAAATTCTCTAATAAATAGCATATTAAATTGATTGGATTTAAGTCATAGCTATTGCTTCCCTGACTTCAAATTTTAGTTAACTTATTCAACAGAAAGAGTAACGTTAATAACGTTCTGAATAAAAATGAATTTATTGTAATCTAAGCTATTCAATATATCTTGGCTTTCTTATTTAAGTATAACTTCAAATCCTTTTTTAAATTCTAAATCATCAAAATAAAGGCTTAGAAGAGGTAATTGAACCTTATATATTTTTGATGCTATACTCTATAAATTAAATTAAATTAAAGATTTAAATGTATCAAATAATAATAAATTTTTATTATTAGCAGTATTAGAATTACCTTTCAATAAAAATCTTTTAGGAATAATTAACTGATCAACTTTTTTTGAAAAATAATTTAATTTTTCATTTATTTCTTTTTGAAACAAATCTTGCAAGATTTTATTTCATATATTACATTATAGATATCTCTATTTTAACTTATATTTCTTTTTAAACCCTTGATAATTTGTAAGTAAAATGTCTTAGTATTATCAACTGAAAAAATAAAATTATATAATATTATTTAATGATCATTATATGAGGCCTTTGCAATAGAAAGGGAGGAAACTCAAAAAAAAATAAAAAATGAGTTAATAATAAATCTGAACAAATTATAGTATTTAGAACATTTTTGGCTTATAAACTAAAATTTTAATTTTTTTGGAGTTTCCTCTCTTTCTATTGCAAAGACCCCATATGTTTAATTCATTGATTTTAATATATTAATAGTAAACAATGTATCTGTTAATACTTTTTTCTCAATGCTATTATTAGTTTCTTGTTCTTATATACATAAAGGATCACAAGATTTGTCAATATTATTTATAGATCGTGATCCTGATGCAATAACTCTAACATTTACATTCTTTTGTTTTTGTTGAGTTGATGCAGATTGTGAGTTTGCATCTTTTTATTTTGATCAAGTTAATGCTTTAATAGCTTTTGCTATATAATAAACTATATTATTAAAAGATATTTGATTTTAATTTTAATAAGATTAATATTTGAAATACACCTTTAGCAACTAAATGAATAGCAATTTTGTCTGTTTCACTTGTAGAATCAATTGCATCAGAAGTATTTCTAGGTCTTAAAACTCTTTGAGTAACTATAAATAAAAAAGATTTAATATAATGGTTTAAATTTAAATTATTTTGTTTTGTACAAATAATAAACTTTTTTTTAACGACATATTAAATATTAAATTTAAATAAAATTGTTACACTTTAACATTATTATAGTATTTTGAGCTTAATATAATAAATAAAAAATCAACTATAACTTTCAATTAAAAAGATTATTTTACTTGCTTTTCTTTTTAGTCATGACAAGAAAATTTGAAAAAATAAGAATAAAGGAAGTAAAAATAAACTTTATTTATGTTTATTTTTATTTTAAATAAACTTTTTATATAAATAAACTTTTATATAATATGAATTTAAATAAATAATTGAATACTATTAAACTTTTATATAACATGAAAGTTAAAGTATGTTTTATTAAATGTAATTAAATATTTTTATTAAAATGGTAATTATTCATATGATTGATCTACCAAAATATATACCAATCAAAAAATTATTTTGATAAAATATAAAATATTAAAATTTAATTTTACACTTTTTTAACTTATAATTATTATAATTATGTATCAATATAGCCTTTGCAAGCATTTATTTTTATGAACGCAAGACCTAACACATTATTATAACCAGCTTTATAATTCAAACAATAAATATTCATGTACATTAAGTTGGATTCAAAGTCAATAAGTGAATCCTAATACTACTTTGTAGTAAAAACTATTACAAACTTTTGATGGTAAATATATAGAATAAAATTAAAGATTAGAATATCTTTTTACGAGCTACAATTATTAGACAAGATAATGAGATTTGCATAATTCCTTAAAATTTGTAAAAACTATTAATAGCTAATTATTAATTAGTATTTTTTATTGAAGGAATTAAATAATCTAAATAATGTTATGAATGATCTTATAACTGTCAATGATAATTTATTTGGTGTAAATGATTCTTCTCAAAATGATAATTATACAGAAGATTATAATAATGAAAATTATGAAATTACTTGATCACAAGATATTAAAAGTACCTTTTCTTTAGTATCCAATGAAGGTTTTTGTAGTGTAATTTTAGCTGATACTTATAAGGATTTGAATAATAGTACAGAGCAAATGCTATGGCTGAGTAAAATATATAAGGACTTTATAATAGCTGTAATATAATATTATCTATCTGACGCAGCTACTGATTTTATATTATGCATTCTAAAAAAACATTACACTGAATCACTTCCCTGGATCTACTAAAAAAGAATGAGATTTTATTGATAATATGGATATTAAGGGTTACAATTCAAAGAGAAAGAACTTTTTACATTTAAAGGAGAAATTTACAAATTACATTATTAACCAATATATGATGCAATTAAAAGTTTAATATTAAATCCTGATTTGAATAAAGACTTTCTTTTTGATTATAAAGAGCAATGGGAACCTGGCTTTGTTAATATTATGTTAATATATTTTTCAAAAGTATTAATATGTAATAAATTAATTATATTATTATTTTAGAATTATTCTTTTATATGTATTATTCTGAATAAAATACTGCAGATTAGTGGCGTAAAAAATATAATCTATTTATCAAGATTTTAGCAGTTATGATTTATACTAATAAAACTACTCTTGATAATTTTGAACGAAAATTTGAATATCCCATTTTTTAACTCTTGGAAACATTTTAAGTTTACACTGTAATATGCTTAATGTAAAAATTCTTATTGGATTCTTACCACATTTAATTACACGAAACAATAAATTTTGAAATTCTAAAGAGTTCTAAGAGGCAAAACATGATTTAAATCATTATGCTTTAAAATATTTATTAAGTCCACTTCTTAAAGATGATAGAATATACTTAGCTATAAATAGGAATGTTGAACATTTTACAGTTTATTTATCTACTGTTATTGCAGATATATTAGAAGCACAAAATATTTGCTGTATATACAAATTCTATCATACATGATATCCTTATTATAAATGTCTTATACATGGTAATAAACTTAATAATATATATATTGAACAAGATTCAATAATTTTACGTAATCATACAAATATGCAAAAAGCTATCTTTTCAAATAATGCAAAAGAATATTTTATTAACAAGTTCAATAATTTTTCTGAAATTTTGAGTAAATTCAAATTTATTTATAATTTTTATTTTTTTTTATATCAAATTAATTTTAACTTTGATTTTTTATTAGAATAATAAATATATATAATGCAACAGCATTAGATTGTATGCATTTACAAGAAATTGGTTTATTTCCATATATGAGAAATATGCTTATGTATCAATGTCAAAATAAGATTATTAGTATAATAAATAATCAATTGGCTAATATTACAAGATTCATTAGCTTAAGAATACTTAAAAAAGGATACCAATAAGGTGCAAAATTCACAGGTGATAAAATGCGAGATATAATAAAAATTATAATATTTGTGCTAGATGAGCTGTATATAACAGATGATACAATTAACCACCAAATAGATAATGTATATATTAATATTTCATATTAAGTACTTATTCAATGCTATATTAAATATATTAAAATATATATTACATCAAGAAAGATAAATTTAACGAAGATGATTTAAGAATCTTTGAAGTATGTATAATTATTATTAATTAGTAATGCATATAATATATATTAATTTATTCTTTATTTTATAGTATAAGATAATTGATTGGTCAAATGATTTTGTAAATTTATTTGCACAATTTTCTCAAAGTGGTTTACAGTTACTAAGACTTCATATGTGAAGATATCATACATTCATACTATTTAATAATCTAGTACTCTCAACAGTGTTACGTTGGATTTCATAACTTCAAATAAAATCTCAAAAGAGTAAATAAAACTAAGACAATTACTCAAGGAATCACAGATGAGGATTCACAATAACATTGAAGAATTATTCTCAAAAATAAACACGTGAGATAAACACAAATTAAACACAAAGATAACTTAAAGATATTTCAGAGATTACGCTTTAGAGACTCCAAGTCAATATAGCGAATCAATACAATATCATATAATAAGTTAACTAACAAAATAGATTGCACGAATGCAAAGGATCACGGATAATGTATAACAGTTTTAAAGGGTTTGCAAAGGATAAGTTTTATACTTGGTTAATTATACTCCTTTATTGATATAATATATAAGTTTGGTACCTAAAAGATTGATATCTCGTCAGTGCTGAGACTCAAAGAAAATACAGAGATATTTATACATGTTGAATAAATAATAAAATAAACTAAACT